TTCTTTCAAAGATTTTTGCTATAATACATAGTTTAGAAATTGGTCTGTAATTAATTATTTCAGTTTTTACTCCTTTTTTATGAATTGGTGTTATAAATGCCGATTTCCAAAGTTTGGGCACAATGCAACAATCTAGAGACTTCTTAAATAAAATAGTAATGGGCCGGGTAATTGACGTTACACACCGTACAAGAAATTTGGATGAAATGTTATCAGGGCCCGCTGCTTTAGATGTATCCAGTTTACGAAGTAACCTGGAAACCTCATCCTCGCTTACCTCGACACTGCAAATATCGGACCGAGCCGGAAGTTCAGCTGAGGGAGTGAAAGGCCCACTATAAGAAGTTGGACTGGCATCGAGAAAAGTAGAAAGGAAGTATTTCGAGAAAGCCTCACATATTGAGTTTCCGGTTCGCAACATTTCATTGTTGAAATTTAGGGTACTAGGAATTGCATGTGAGTTGTGTCGTTTTTTAACGAAGGTCCAAAAGTGTTTCGGGTTTACTTTGATTGAGTTTTCGGTTAAGTTGAGGTAGTTCTTATAACACTCAGATTCCAACTCCTTCACCCTTTGACGAAGAAGCTTAAATGTTAACTCGTCAGCTACGTTACCGTAAGTCTTAAATTTTTTTAAATACTTATATTTTTCTTTAATTGTATTAATCAATGATGAGTTGTACCAAGTTGGATATGCATTTTTACGTTGTAATTTCTGTGGGATATGTTTTAAATGTAAATTAATGATGTTTTGGTTGAAAAAAGTTACTGAATCATCAATTGATCGTGTTGCAAACTCAGATTCCCAGCTGGTTGTACTAATCTCTTTGTTGATAGATTCATAGTCACCCTTGTCGAATAAGAACTGTGTCCGAGTCGCGCATTCCAATAGAGGGGCAATGAAATTTATACCAATTAAAAGTGCTGGGTGGTAAGCATCAATGGGAACCAACGGACTTGGGCATTCGGTCACGTCAACTAATCGGTTAGAAAGTACCAAATCTAGAATTTTGTCATATCGATTATGAACACCGTTGTATTGACCAAGGTCGAGGGTATGTAATTCATCAATAAGCATAACTTCGTCTTGACCCACTGGGTCGATAGGAATGAAAGATAGATTCTCGGACAACACCCACTTAATACTACTCATGTTGAAGTCACCAACAACAAGAAAAGCATCCGAGGGGCCACTCATGACTATTTGATTTAATTTTGTAAGGTAGTTTAAAAGTTGTAATGAAAAAGAAAGGCCCAAGTTTTGTTGACACAAATAGACAACGCAAATATGTAGATTCGTGTATTTTCGCGTATTCGATTCCCTCAGACGTATGCTCAACCATAGATCCTCTGCCGTAGAATAGAACGTAGGTTGGCACACAACCGAAAGCTCTCTGCGTGTGGCGATAAGTACACCCCCTCCACGGGACTGCCCGGTAGTAACATAGTCCCGATCCCGGCGCCACACAATGTATCGTTCGTCAAAGAATTCAGAATTTAAGATTCCATCCAATAACCACGTCTCTGTAAGAACAATAACATCATAGGAGTTGAGTGACATTTGACGATAGAATGTATCACTTTTCGTTCTAAGGCCGCGAACGTTTTGATAATAAATATTTAATTTAGGAGCCATTGAATTTATTATCATTAATAGCATATAAATTCGCATAATCTATTAAAATAGATTGTTCCATTAAAAAATATTGCAATTTAAGGTATAATATAAATACATAATATGTGTTATGAAGGTAGTTCTTAATAAAGTTAGTAAAATTTGTGTGAGGGCAATAGTTGGTCGATGTTATAAAATAATTAATATTTGTGCAAAAAGGCAAGCAACAGCGCGCGGTGCATGCAAGTGCGAAAGAATAAAACAGATAGTGGTGCCGTGCAGCTTTAAAGTAAACAGCGCGATACCGATCACAGGTAGTTGAACATAAATCATTACGAGGATTCGAGTGTATAGGTACCAGTGCGGCAGAGGTTTTAAACAGTTTGTAACTTTTTAGTATGGTGAATACGTTATTAGTAAATTGAGAAAATTGAAGCGACGTATAATAACAAAATAGAAAGGTTAAATTTAAGAAGCATATTAGATAAGTTTGTTTAAATCCGAGTCCTTCCTTATAATAATTACTTTAGAGTATTTATTTTTAAGTACGTGTATTTTACTATGCTTCACCCATACATACTCATACTGTTTGTCCTTGGCAGTTGATTTAACCTTACTTAGGAGTTTCTTGTATTCAATGCTAAGGTGATCATTGACATACACACGCTGAGATGAACCTTGAAAGCCAATATCCGAAGTGGATAGATCCTTATTGGCACGCGCCGCCGCAACAAAATCCTCTTTCACGTATCGATTTAAAAAGCTTATAATAATTAACTTTTCGTTTGAATTAAATATCGGAACTCTTGAGATGTAATTCACCTGGGATTTTGGACAGTTGTAGTTAATCCTTTCTCCTATTGCTTCGAAGATAGAAAATAGATTTTCATCCTTCTTTACTGGAACCCCCTTAATCTCAACGTTGTTCAATCTGGAACGTTGTTCGTTGCTTGACTGTAGAAACTTGGTGCTCGACAAATCCGTTTGCAAACGGTTTACTGTTTCATGGAGATTATCGAATTTTGAAACCTTTTCTTCCACTTCCGTGAGTCTTGTTTCAAATTCATCCAGTCTCCCACCAGTGCGTTCACAGGATATTTTGAGTCCCGCCAACTCATCCCTTATGGCTCGGATGTCGTCTACCAGTGCTGGTAAGTTAAGCAACTGGCGTTTCATATCACGTATCTCACCGAGTATGGTATCCAGAGATGTAGGTTCAGGGGTGGATACAGCTGGCGATGAGCTTCTGCACATGGGACATTTCCATTGGGCCATTCTAGCAGAACCCAATTTCCTCCACCCAGATTCAGAAATGTTTGCACACCCAAAGTCCAGGTGTTTCTTGCAACTACCGCATTGAACGCCATCATGAAACTGCACATTGCAGGCTGCACAGGTTTTCATTTTCGAATTAATTTACTAGTCGTTAAACAAAAACGTAAAAAGGTTGGTGATCTATTTATTTAGAGTGGCGTGTACTGTGCTTATGAATGACCACAGACGACTGAATGTATTAAAGTATTATTTTAGTACTAAAGTATTAAATTATGTATTATATTACCTACTATTGGAATTTAACTACTGACTACATTTGAGTATTGTCCAGTAGAGCCGAACCAACATGCTGCCAAGCATTCTTATCTTCAAGATTAGAGGTGTAAAAATATTTATCTATCACCTAGGTATATTGAGCTTAGTTTTTATGGGATTGGTCAGCAAATGAGGAGACGGTAAGCAATTGACAATCGACATCGCTTTTACAATGATTACCCTGGCTCAATACTATAGGTGCTGCAAGCGTGATGCCTTCAATTTAAAGTCTCGATGATGTACGTATAGTTAAAATGAAATAATACTTTTGCAGAAGCAGTAACGATGGAGCAGTACGTGGCCGGCGTGCGAGTGTTGCTGGCGGCGTGCGCCCGCGGCGCGCTGGCGGCGGGCGAGGCGGCCGCGCGGTTCCTGTACTACCGCGCCTCCACGCTGCAGAGACACCCGAGCCTGGCCTACAGCGCCACTAAAGCTGCTGCCCAGTATGCCGCATTAGCTCATGACAGGTGCATATCACAATCATGTAGTTTTCATCGTTTTCATAAAAATGATGGAACTAAAACTGACGTCAAAGTCAAAGCATTTATTTCAAATAAACTATAATTTGGTACTTTTGAAACGTCAACAAATACAAAATAAATAATAGTCTGTCAGTCAGTCCGTCAGTGAAGCTAGGTGCTCATTCCAAAATGTAGATTCGAATGGAGAAGAACGAGCAAGAAACTCCATTCATTACTCTTTGTATTGTAACTTTCGTGAGACATACTTAATAAATTATTATGTTTTCGGCTTACTCACGTAGTAATTCGACGAGGAACCCGATTAGTTTCAAGCCATGCTAGAGGCTCATATTCATGAGCAGCATTTCGCCGATACCACGAATGGAACAAAGTGCGCGTGAATCACGGCAGAGGGCGCGCTGGGCACACTCGAGTAGCCAGTAGCAGCGCGACGGTCGCAGCGCCGCGGGTCGCGAAATGCTGCTCATGAATATGAGCCTCTAGCATGGCTTGAAACTAGTCGAGTTCCTCGTTACTCTTTTTAAAAAAGTATGTTCTACTATGTCTCTGATACATATTCCAATACTGTACGTATATGTGAGAACAATGCAAAGACTCGCTTGACGCATTATAGGTACTAATTAGTGTTGGAGACTCACAGTTGTGTAGATTTGGAAAGACTTTATGGAATACTAGCTATCAGTAGCTACGAAACCCAAACAGTCAAAAAAGAATTCGTACTTGAAGATTTTGTATTTCAATATTACTTCTGTTTCAGACATCGAGCCCTCACAGTATCGCTAGCAACAGCTGGTATGGAACTGACAGACACCTTGGAACTGCGCGCTCGTACTCCACCTCGACCCCTGCAACTGCCGGGCTTGCCGACAAAGGTGTTTGTGTACGCCACTGGTGCTGGCTGTGCTACTGTCCAGGTAAGTGAAACAAGTGAATTTATTTCTGCAAATAGGCTACAAGGCAGCACTTTTACACGTCAATTTTACTAAGCGAACGATGAGGCCGACATTTCCTAACTGACTACTCTGAGAAGAAATGCCGAAACAAACCAGACAAATGTGTATAAAAGATTATGTGTAAGAACCGTGCAAGTAGGTAAATATCGAGACAACAATTAAATACTGTAGGAGAGCCATGCTTCGGCACGAATGGGCCGGAGTGATACCACGGCCTCACAGAAAACCGACGTGAAGCAACGCTTGCGTTGTGTTTCGTCGTGTGAGTGAGGTTACCGGAGGCCCAATTACCCTCCCCTTCCCCAATCTCCCCAATTCCTGAATCCCCAACTATCCTTAAACTCCTAATCCATAAAAGGCCGGTAACGCACTTGTAACGCCTTTGGTAGGAATCGGTGTCGCCCATGGACACCTTTCCAGGTGTCTATGCTTACCATCAGGTGATCCGTCTGCTCGTTTACCGGCTTATGCCAAAAAAAAATGAAAAATAAAAAGGAAGGAAAAGAAAAGTGTTTAAATCATTACTGATTATTTATTACTATCCAGATTTTTTCACTACATCTATTCTGCCCTTTTAGTGCCTTATACGTTAAATCTGACTTTAATACAATATTTGACTTTTTTTTTTCTTAAAACGGACCCCGAAATTTACATGCCTATTGCACTTAACTGCTCTCGTACATCACTCTCAAAAAATCTGTACCTGAAATTATAAAATAGTACCATATTATCACACCTTAATTACAGGGAACAATAACCTATTCAACATATACACCGAAACCTGAGAACGCATTGCTGAACATTCAAGCCGCCATCATTGAAGAAATCCGCCCCGAAAGAAGCAGCATCGAAGACTTGCAAGGAAACCTACCCACACTGATCATAAAGACTTGTTTCAAGTAAGTTCGCCTTATAAAACTGCTATTTGAAAAAAGACTTGGTCTAAAATCTTTCAACTTGAATTTAATGAATAATTATATTCACATAACATCACGCCTTTATCCCCGAAGGGGTAGGCAAATATTCACATAGAAGTAACACCCACTTTTCACTATTTATGTTATGAGTCCCATGTAATAGAGGGTGAGCCTATTGCCATATACCGGGCACATTTCCAGAGTTCGTGCTACTACTGAGATTTTTTTTTTAAAAACCCAGTAATACTTTGCTCTACCCGGGGATAGAACCCGAGACCCTTGCCCGGTAGTCGCACTTGCGACCACTCGGCCAACGAGGCAGTCATTATGTTCATGTAGGGTCATAATCACGTAATTTCAATTTTACAGATGGAAGGGCAAAGAGCGTTCCGGAATTCTTCGCTTAGAATCATCTCTGTTTTCGGGCTACGAACTACATTCAGTAAACCCTGTGGTATTAGATGGTGCCACCTTCGCTGATTTGCATTACGGGTCCAGAGGAGAATCCGTATGGTTCGTCTTCGCTAACGTAAGTATCATTTACATACATTTAGATGACATTTTTGGACATAAAACCTACATTTTTCATCTGTTGATTTATTAATCGCATTATATAAAATTAGTCATCTAAAGAGTGGATATAACTGAAGTCACTAAGAAAATTAAAAATCCCGATTATATTAATTAAATAAAAGTCCTTGCTTTTATCAATCTTACAATCAGTAGACCTACGCTAAATTCCCCTTATCAATATTACCATCCTATTTACAGATAAGCTCCACGTGTCCCGTCTGCGTCACATATGAAGTACGTTCGAAGTTCGTTATCACAAGCTTAAGACCAGCCTTCGCCAAGATCTATCCTTCGACGCGGCCAGACCTAGCCGTGGAAACATTCTTCCACGCCCGACCTGGAAGTCCACTACTACGAGGCATCACTGACGATGATTTTATAACATGGTTTGACAAAACCGAACTCGCTAGTCTTAAAACTAGTACAAGTATTGATAATATTTGTGAATGCGGACGTATTTGTAGTAGGGATTACGAATTTAGGAAGAACTATGAGGAGCATACTGAAGGTACTACAGAAAACGTAGATACAACTACCGAAGAAAGCAGTACAATAAGTACTACAGAGCTTTCAACTACTGAAGAAATTACAAGTACTGAAGCCAGTACTCCATCAAGTACTACAGAAATTGTTACCACACAAGATACTACTACTACTACTGATAAAACGACAACTGATAATATTTCTTCAATCAAAATTGAAAGTTTAGATGACCCTATAATAATCCCAACTGTAACTTACGTAAATACAACTGAGAAGCAGGACGTCAATAATGACTTAGCTTCTCTATTGCCAAAGATAACTGGAGAACTCATTGTGCCAAAATCAGTTTTGCCAAGGAAAGATGATTATAAGAAGAAGCCACTACCTAGAAGAAAGGGTACATTAAAAGCAACATATGGAGATAAACATGAGAAATTCTTCTTGAAATTAAGGGAAATGGGAAATTCAGTATCGACTACTATATCTACTCCTATGACTTCTACCGTTACATCTCCCGGACCTATAACTACGACAATTGAAATGACATCTACTGAAAAACCTCAACAAACATTAAATAATGAGAATCACACTACATCTGTTCCAGTTTCTGTAGAAACTGAAAAGTCACTACATAAGATTGTTCTCAAGAAAACAGATGTTTTAAAGCCCCTTATACCAGTGAACGTAGTGGCTAACAAAACTGAACTTAAAACAGAAATTCTTAAAATCATTCCAGAGGACATTATGACTAAAGTTAACAAGACGGTTACGGTTGAAATTAAAACTACGGAACTTCCAATTACACATAATGATATCACAACTATGAAGCCGATCAAACCAGTTATCCCTCACACAATAACAGCTATCACTAACAATAATATCAAATCAATACACTACAGGACAAAGAAACCTAAAGCTATAACGCAAATCAAGAAACCGATAATTAACCACGTTCACAATACTACAAAACAAAACAAAAGCGAAGATATTGACTCAGACATAATAAACAAAACGAAAAAGAAACCAATTGTTCCACAAAAGTACAATGCAAAAACAATGAAATCTATAAACAAAGAGATACACAAAATCCCGCCAACTCCAATTTCCGAAACTTCAAAGACGTTGTCAGAAACTCTCAAATACGATATCGCTCCGGAAAATAAGGGTGGCTTCGAAATATTAGACAAGAATAATTTATGGGAGCTACTAAAGGAAGGGTCTGATAATGATCCTTCGAAACTAGAGGAAAAACTACACGTTCATAATAGATTAAATATATTAGGACATAACGTGTCTAATGTAGATGATAACCGATCATTATAAACTATATTGTTATGTAATATATAAGATACAAAGACTTCAGTATAAATATTTTTGTAACACAGTATGCCACTTGAAACCTGTAATTTACCTTGGATAGAAAGTTGTGGAAAGTGCATGATTTTGCTCGATTTGCATAGTAAAGTCTCTTTTGATGACACATAACAAAATATTTATTGTCTTTTCAGTCCTCTTGTGACTTATTAACGTCATTACTACCGACTCCCAATTGTTTTGTATCCATTTACAAAGTCATGCTCTCTCCAGCAAATCCATCTTCATCTACAATCAAATTGTTGATAAATCAAAAACACGATTCCTATGCACTTTTTATTGTTGATTGTTAGAATGTATTGCACTTATCTGAATGATTTGTGTGAACGATTGTGTGCTGTAAATATTACGTGTAAGCTAAATTATTGACTAAGTAAAGCGCTGTGACCTATGACTTCTATTGTATGACGTCTTTGCTCAAAAGCAAAGTTTTTTGTTCTTACCTTAGTAATATAACCGAAGTATTAACCGGTTTAGTAGTCTCCAATGGAATGTAAACAGTAGTTTAGGATTAATAATTGTGAGTCAATCTTTATTAGTTGGAATTCCGCTTCAAGTTAGATGCTACTATAACTTTAGGAGAGCTAGATAACGCTGTTTAGAAATATATTTTGGGCTACCTAAAGTATTTGACTGAATTCACTATTTCCAACCACAGGTTGCCTTTCAACAATCAAGATATAGAAACTGCCAAAATTCTGAATAGCGACTTTATAGTATCTACCATAACAACCTTTCTCCGTTGGATTATTTGTATAGGTAGCCCTAATATTAATAGGATAGCGACTCCTTATTTCTCTAATGTAAATAGGGTCTCTAATTGCCAAATTAATCGTTTACCCCCTAGTATAATTAATAGTGGTACTAGTGTTTTAGATTATGTAATTGTAATGCTAATGCCCCAGAATTTCCATCCGTCTATCGTCTTCTGTATCTATTGTATGTATAATGTAGTTCTAGTAGCTGTCTAGTTGTTTTATGTTGTGTCTTTGGTTTGTGGATCAATAACTTGTTGTAAGCATGTCTCAATTGCACATTTTACGCCATCTAGTAACGGTTAAATGTATCCACTAAAATGTTCACCCTACAATACGGTTGTCCTCTCGTTATGTGAGGTAGGAAAATCGGGAAGCTCTACTTTGTCAGTTTCTAGAAATAGAATAGAGATGGCGTTGTTGTCAATTGTAAGTTGTGACCATTTGGTAAATTGTGTGTTAAAGTTTTCAACTTGTTTCAGAACAAATTGAAATTTATTTTTATTATCAGCAAGTTAGAGATTCACAACACCGTATTCCCGTAGATGTTTAGAATATTATGTTTCGTGACTGTATGCATGAACGGCTATTACTTATTTGAAATTTAACGTAGACTCTTCTTCCAGTACGTAGACTTAATAATAATCCTAATAATATTTCCTTATGAAAACCTATTCTTCTTCGAATAAGTATCTTACTGTTTTTAGTTCAGTCTTCCCTGTACTTTTATGTGTACCCTCTTTTATAGTATTCCCCAAAAAAATCTATCTTGTCTAATTTCCTTCCATATACAAAAAAATACTTTTTGGTGTAAATATAAGATAATGTTCCACTAATAGCTTTTTTATTGTATCGTATAAGAAAAATGTTCTAGACGTTGCACCGATGCGTCCGAAAAGCGACCTTGGTGTCACTTGTTAGTATTACAATCAATTAATGTATTTTCAACCCCTTATTCATAAGAGATCCCTACCAAATATAATTCATCATCAATCTTTCTCAGTTCCTCCTAAAAGTAATTTATTGCATTGTCAGAAATGAATGTTTTTCATTTACTAGTTCAGATGCCAATTCATTTACAATAACATCTGGAACATCTCTGAATCGAGTATGGTCGTCTTACCATCGTGTTGGTCCACCTGTGTTCTGGAATACATTTTCCAATTCTTCGATAACCACAACATGACCAATTATGAACACCAATCATAACCTGTCCTTGTCTCACCTCTTTTTCAAGAAGGTCAACAATTTCAGGGTTTGAATTTCACCAAGTAATATCACCAGTACCTAAATTTTAAAGTCAATCATGTCGTTAACAAATGTTTGTTAGCAATAAGAAACAATCAAGAAAGAGTAAGTCAAACCAGTGCCATATTTTTATAATTTTACTTTCGGAATACAGAAACGCTACCCAATTTTAAGTTACGCTTAAGTATAGTTCTATCTCTACAAATTCTTTGTAAAATGACAAAGATGGCACGATATTTGAATACAACTTAAAATTGAGTAACGTTTCAGTATTCCGGCATTACTTAATAATATTGTAAACTATATCTAAATCAATATTTAGAGCACTTAAATTTAAGCCATATTCTTATGAATAAGAGGGAGTTTTTAACTAAGCACGATTTAAATGTATAAATGTAAGGTTGTATGATATTATAGGTGCTTGCGCGGTGGATAAACGTCAATTTTTCGATATTATGTATAAAAAAAACGATCTCATTTTGATTGTAAAATGTCATAATTTTAAATGTTTGTGCTTAAAGAGTAAGTTAGTCATTTATTATTGTAATTACTCGATGTACTGAAACGGATTAGACATAGGAATGAATAAATAATAATAAATTATTGAGTGTTTTATTTTTGTTGTTATTGTCCTTTCTTTGTATAGAATAAATAAATACCTACACTATCGTGTAAAATATTATTTGACTGCACGGTTGGTGCGGTGGCTGGGCAACCGGCTGCCGTGCAACGTGTCGCGGGTTCGATTCCCGCACGGAACAACACTTTGTGTGATCCACAAATTGTTGTTTCGGTCTGGGTGTCATTGTGTACGTGAATTTATATGTTTGTAAACACACCCACGACACAGGAGAAAATCCTAGTGTGGGGCAACGATTTAAAAAAAAAAATTATACTACCCATATTCTCGTAGGCAGGAAACAAGGAGGCACTAAATACACTTCTATTTCTGTGGGTATTTAGATTCTGATAGAATCTAGCACTTCGAACTTGAGTAGAGTAATTATGTTAATTTATTGACTAATACTGTTAATAGATGACTTCAATTTTAAGTTTTACCTAAACTGCCTGCCTGACTGCCTCGTTGGCCGAGTGGTCGCAAGTGCGACTGCCGGGCAAGGGGTCTCGGGTTCGATTCCCGGGCCGGGCAAAGTATTAGATACTGGGTTTTTAAAAGATTCTCAGTAGTAGCACGGAGTCTAGAATTGTGCCCGGTATATAGCAATAGGCTCACCCCCTATTACATGGGACTCGTAACATAAATAGTGAAAAGTGGGTGTTACATTCTACACTGGCATAATGATCACCTCTGCCTTCTCCTTTGGGGATAAAAGGCGTGATGTTTTGTTATGTTATGTTTTACCTAAAATAACGCCTTAGTAAAGAAAGGTCGCTCTGGCACATGAATGAAACTGAAAAGCTTATTAACTGGTATCTCTGCCTACCCCTTAACTCGTCGAGTACCGGTTTTGTAGACACAATTATAGAACAATAGGTTGCGGTCACCGGTGACCGCTTGGTGTTTGACAGTTTAAAAGAATATTGTGAGTGACACACAATAATATTACCTGCATAAATCCAATTGTGTTCAATACAAATGCCAGCGACAATCAAATTATTTGTTTTTTTTGTCTTCAGGAAAATCTTATTTGTCCTACACAAATAAGTCAAATTACATAAACGATTCGTTGGACACGTTAAGTTTGTTTTAGGGTGTGTACACATGCCAACACCATAAAACTTAAATGACTTCTATTTAAACTGTCAAACACCAAGCGGTCACCGGTGACCGCAACCTATTGTTCTATAATTGTGTCTACAAAGACGGTACTCGACGAGTTAATCTCTGTTAGGGTTGGTAGAGTACGAATTTTATACTTCTCTTTACTCGTACTGTAGTTGTTGCACCGGGTACGGTGAACGAGTAGAACTAGAATCGGAAAAGAGTTGGCGACCCGCGGGGAATGCGTATAGTTCCAATAGTTGCTTCTGCGAGTGCTCGGCAACAGCATAAACAGTCAACGATCAACTATTAGTATATGCATCTCTTTTGTTTATACGGAATGAGTACCTCGTTGAGTACCGTCATTATAGACTCAATTGAAGAACAATATAATATAAGCGAATATAATATAATATAACGAAGGATAATTTATAAAATCTGAGAATGGGGAAGAATAAATTATTGTGTTACTTTATATAATAAAACTCTCTTTTATACATGTTTCTTGAGCGAGATAACAGCCGATAGTTAGTCGTTTGTTGTCTTCTCCTCGTCGGCAGTGGGACAAATGCCTTAAGAACAAAATCAATGACTTAACTTTCTTTGTATCATATCACCTCATGTGACCAACACTTTATCATTGTCCTTTTGTTTTATTTGTCAAATAAAGTCTTTACCACGATAAAGTTGTGATAAATTACCAATAAGTTATGACTTCTTTGTAGATAATTAGAAACAAATAAATTTATATTTGTACACAATACCTATCATAAGTACCATGGTATTGAAGCATGACTCAGAATTTGATGCTTCAGAAAAGAACAAACAGAATAAATATTGCAAACGCAACTGATGGCAGTTGCGTTTGCAATGTTGCGTTCGCAAGAAGTACCCAATAGGATTTTAGGTATTTCGATTTTCAAAAAAAATTGCAGTATCACAGAGCTAGGCGTTGAGGCCAATGTAGGTCTCTTATTCGTTTGCGACACGATCTCCGGCCACAGTAAGCACGGGTCTGCGGACGACGAGCATAGTTAGCTCGCCGCCCGACCAAAACCAGACCCGAGTGTATGGTGCGCCTCAATGAGCCGTGAGACCACGACAGATCCCCGGCCCAATAGAGCTGATGCCAATACGGAGCTGCGGATGACTTAACGGGTTTCTGGTGCTCCGCCTCGACGTGCAGGAGTAGGAACAGGGTGGGTTTGCCTTACCCGGGGAAATGACATCATTGGAATGATTTTCGGCCCATAAAAGGACTCTTATTCTTTAAGAGTTGGAACAACTTGGGACATTAACTACTTACTTTGCTTAGTCCATTTGGAAAATAATGTCAATAACCAAATCAGGGTGACCTTTGAAGACTGAAACCATTGATCTCAAAGAATTTAGATTATAGAAATAGTTTGGAACAATCCTCTCATAGAACAGTCCCCACAACAATCAAAGGTCAAATAGATATTAGGAATTTTGTCTTAGCAATTGACCTCTTAGCATTGTAGAGAAACTTCAAACATATCTCGAAATTATTACAATATCACTTTCACGAAATTCTTAATCACTTCATCTTAGCTTATCTTTTTGAATTGTACAATTAAGATACCGAGGATATCATCAAATAGGTATATAGGGTTCTCTAAATAAGCAAACCAAAATCTAGAACTAAATAAAGTTGTAAAAATGTGTGAACCACAAGAAAATCTTTTCTTACCTTGACTGTAATGCTGTTTAAATAATTCTCTTATTCAATTTATTTTTTTATTTAAACGGATCACTTCAAAATATATCTCCATTGAAACTCCCTCAATCACCTGTGGAACCGGCGAGAGATGTCACGCGGTGTTCCACAGGGTTCGGTTCTGGGGCCGCTCCTGTGGAACATCGGTTATGACTGGGTGCTGCGCACCGACCTCCCGAACGGCGTTAGCACAATATGCTACGCCGACGACACGCTGGTGCTAGCGCACGGGAGGTCGCACCAGGCGGCGGCCGATCTAATGGCGACAGCGGTTGCGACAGTCGTTGAGAGAATCCGGCAGTTGGGACTCGAGGTGGCGCTCCACAAGTCCGAGGCCATGTGTTTTCATGGCCGCGGGAACGCGCCACCTCCGGGTGGGTCCCAAATAACGGCGGGAGGAGTTACCATCGGCGTCGAGACGACGATGAAGTACCTAGGACTCGTCCTCGACAGTCGGTGGAACTTCAT